CACACGCACGCCGCGCGCGCGCGGCGCGCGCGCGCGCGCGCGCGCGCGCGATATATATATATATATATATACACACACACATACATAAAAAAAAAAATATTTTTTTTTTTTTTTTTTTTTTTTGAGTGAGTGTGTGAGTGTGTGTGTGTGTGTTTTTTTTTTTTTGTTTTTTTTTTTTTTTTTTTTTTTTTTTTTTTTTTTTTATATATATATAGAGAGAGAGATATATATATATATATATATATATATATATATATATATATATATATATCTATATATATCTATATATATATATATATATATATATATATATATATATATATATATATATATATATATATATATTTATATATACACACACACACACACTATCTATTAAATAGATAGTTATATAGTTTACTAACTATAACTACAACTATAATTCACTCCATAAATAAACTAACAATAAATTAAAACAATTCAATCAAACTAGAATAAAATAATACAAAAATATTCAATCTAGCACCCTAATAATAATCTAATAAAAAAATGTAATCTAAAAATTATATTACATTTTACAAATATTAGTGTAAAAAAATATTTAAAAAGAATGCTAACAGCCTAATAAAAATAAAATATAAATAACAAACAAAGAAATAAAACAACGAAATGCTATAAATACAAAATTAATAATAATAATAATAATCAAATAAATGAATAATAAAAGTAACATTAATGAAAATCTAGAAATGTAAAAAAAATCTAAATAAAACAAATAACACAAACTATTAACAAAAGCTAAAGTTTAAAGTACATCTAAAAAAAATAATAAAACAAAAATGTAATGAATTAATGTGTTAATATACGCAATATGCACAATCCAATACTAATCAGCTAATAAATTAGATCATTTAATAAAAATAAAGTTAGTAATTGAATAAAAAAAAACAACATAATTAATATAACCATAAAACGTAATAAAAATAATAAAAAATGAGCAGATTCCATATATTTAGTTTAGTTTGGGTTTCTTTACAAAAAACAAAAACAAAACTAATACAATATATGTAAAGTAGGCTGGATTAAACAGGCAGTGTGCTTCTTGGTGAGTTTTTCAACCATAATTATTTTCTTAAAGTAGTCTAGTAAAAATATCCAGTAATATAAAATGAAGATGCATTCGGTTTGTTGTTTATAAAAAGTACTCGTGCCTCTCTGATAAATCTGTGGAAGTTTTTAAAGAGAAACCACTAGCAAAACCAGCCGAGAAACACAGATGGGGAGACACCTTGTGGAAGAACAAGGAACTTGACAAATGAATTTGTTAGTACGGAGAATATTCATAAAACAAGACGGCGAAGAGCATTATTATGTGCACAATCTACAGGAGGCAAGTTTCAAAACTGTTCTTACGAAATTACTCACTATTTGATATAATTACAGCTGTATCCCTGCATAAAAAAGCTTAAACCAGCCTCCTTGTTGGCTGGTTTTAAAGGGGTTTTGGCCATTTCCAGGCTGGTTTCCAGCTATTTCTAGGCTACTCCTAATTGGTCAGGCTGGAAAATTACCAGCTAGCCCAGCTTGGTTTAAGCTGGACATAGCTGGTTTTGGTTGGGCTCTCAGCCTGGCTGGTCAAGCTGGTTGTAGATTGGTTTAGGTGCACAACTCCTTTCGAGAAAGCTGATAAATATACAAAGCTACATACTACAACTTCTCTTTTTAATTAACAAAATATACCTATGCCATGTCAAAATATTGCGAAGTACACACACGTTAACAAAAAGCCTATGTGTACTTAGTTTCAATGGTTGAAAACATGTATATCGTCCAAACGCGGCCATTTTTTTGCCATATATGTCAATAATTTTTTACATATATGTTTATAGAATCCAAATGAACTTGTGTGCCATGCAATTACCATACATTTGCAATAGGGCCTAACCATACCGTTTGATATCTATATCAGATTTCACTCAAGTAACAGTTTGAACAACACTTGTTTTAGCCTAACATACGTTACTACAAATACCAAGATCCATGTCCATTCTATCAAAACCACGGCGAATTTGTGGTTTCAGTGTGATGTTTTTGGTTTTACAGCAAACGCCTAAAATTATTTTGTTTGAAACGTGAACGGTTAAAAGTTCGTTTAAAAATAATAACAACTCTCGTCATCGACTCGTGTTCATTCAGTGCGGATCTCTGAGTTTCTAGATATGAGTTTGATTAAATAACGACTGAATGTTGGAGGATTGTGTTATTTCACATGTCTGTCAGTGTAACTTGATGGCGGTGGGGGTTTCTACAATACCTGCAGTGTTGAGCAAAGCGTCTGTCAGCACGACGCACCAGAGCTCTTTAATATACACATACTGGAGGGAACCACACCTCAGCAATCCTGCTCTAGCTTTACTGCATTAATACTCTAAAGCGAACATAGACTGCTTATGCGATCTAATAGGCCTCTTTCTAACAATATAATCATTTTAAGGTTGAATCAAGTCATGTCGAGTGACTTAAAGAGACAGTTCGCTCAAAAGCCGGAAGTTCTGTCATAATTTACTCACTTGTCACAAACCTGTTTGGCTTTCTTTCTTGTAAAAAGAAGATATTCTGGAGAAAGTTGAATGCCGGTAACCATTCTTTTGCATTTGTTTTTCTTACTATGGACGTCGATTGGTGAGAGGTTTCCAGCTTTCTTCAAAATATCCTCTTTTAGGTTCAGCAGAAATAAAAAAGAGACTAGTAAAGGTTTCCTCAATTGATTGCGAGTAATTAAAGAGTACATTTTCATTATTTTTGGACTCTTTAAAAAATCAAGTTGAATTTTGTATAGCTTCACAAATTATGTCGAAACGTTTAATATCAAAGTGCAATTAAAATGTAAAATATATGAATAAATTAATGTATAGGCTATAGATAAATAAACAAATGAATAATTAGAAAAGGGAAAATGAGGATAGATAGATAGATAGATAGATAGATAGATAGATAGATAGATAGATAGATAGATAGATAGATAGATAGACTAAATTAATATATAGTCAATTAAATATGTAGGATAAAGATGGATGAATGGATGGAAAAGGGCTGAGTGAAAGTGGATAGATAGATGGATTACTATAATATATAGACAAATTCATATATAGGCTAAAAGTGGATGAATGGATAGAAAAGGGCTAAGTGAGGGTGGATAGATGGATGGATTACTATAAATAAATATATAGACAAATTCATATATAGGCTAAAGATGGATGAATGGATAAAAAAGGGGTAAGTGAGGGTGGACGGATGGATTACTATAAATTAATATATAGACAGATTTATATATAGGCTAAAGATTGATGAATGGATAGAAAAGGGCTACGTGAGGGTGGATAGATAGAACGATAGAACGATAGAACGATAGATAGATGGATGGATGGATGGATGGATGGATGGATGGATGGATGGATGGATGGGTGGATGGATGGATGGATGGATAGATCAGATATATACATATAAAGCAGCTATTTTAAATTGCAATATTATCAATCAGCATATGATGCTTCTGACAAAACCATAAAAAAATCTTACCAATCACAAGCTTTTGAGATACATCATTATTTTGTGTGTATATAAATCTATAGACAGTGTGAAATAATTCTGACTGTTTTTCTTCCTTATGTTTCTGCAGTAATGGAGCCTGGGAATGTCTCGGCCCCCTGAGGCTCCAGGAATCTGATCCATACTCAGATCTCTCTCTCTCTCTATCAGCAGTGACACACATTAGTGCTGACAAGGGTCCCGACAAACCCCTCTCTCCAGCCCCAAACCCCCTCTCCCACACAACACACTGCTGGACAGAGAAATGCGAGCACACTCACGGTAAATGCACAGGATAACATGCTGCTTCTTTCACGTCTTTATTGTTTTCCAAACTGTGTATTGACTGTGGGCGGTCCTGACAAAGACTGACATAATACTCTCTGCAAATATCTGCCCTTTAAAAATAAACTACTTAAAAATGAGCTTTCGCCTTAATCATAACTTATCATGAGAGACTAACAACCACATACACTGTAAAAAAGTCTTTCTTGCACTCATTTCTTTTAGATTAAATCAAATGTATTCAACTTATAGCCACAGCCTGACAAAAGTCTTGTCATTGATCTCAGTTGTAAGAGCAACAAATAATAACTTGACTTCTAGTTGATCATTTGGAAGGGTGGCAGGAGGTAGATTTTTCAGATGAATCCCAATCATCACAAATACCGCAGAAGACCTATTGGAACCAACATGGACCCAAGATTCTCACAGAAATCAGTCAAGTTTGGTGAAGGAAAAATCATGGTTTGGGGTTACATTCAGTATGGCAGCGTGCATTACAAACCACAGGAGAGGCAGATTCTTCAGCAGGATAGCGCTCCTTCTCATACTTCAGCCTCCACATGAAAACTCCTGAAAGCAAAGAATGTCAAGATGCTCCAGGATTGGCCAGCACAATCACCAGACATGAACATTATCGAGCATGTCTGGGGTAATATAAAGGAGGAGGCATTTAAGATGTATTCAAAAAATCTTGATGAACTATGGGAGTCCTGCAAGAACGCTTTCTTTGTTATTCCAGATGACTTTATTAATAAGTGATTTGAGTCATTGCAGAGATGTATGGATGCAGTCCTCCAAGCTCATGGGAGTCAGACACAATATTCATTCTTGCTCCACTGCACCATGACTGCACATATTCTATACTGTACATTATTTCTGTTAAGTAACAAGACTTTTGTCTAAGCAAAGTCAGATTTTACTGTTCTAATTAAATATTTAAAAATTAAGGAATGATCATGTTTTATACTGCTAAAATAAGCGTAATCTAGAGGCCTTTGCCTTTCATATAAGCCAACTCTGATACCAAGTGATCAACTAGAAGTCAAGTTATTATTTATTGTTCCTAAAACGTGGATAAGTGATATATAGTTTTAAAAATAGAATGAGTCAATGTAAAGAGGAGGGAAATTATTTTTATTTGTATAAATTGGTTAAATAAACAAAGATGCAACAAAGGACATACAGAAAGTCTAAGATTGATAGATATATTCTGAATTAGGCCCATCTATTCTTTATAAATATAGAGAACATTAGAAAAAGAAACTGTACAGTACGTGACTGTAGAAGAGAGTTGGATGTACATTGTATACTGCGTAATTGTAAAACACTTTATATATTGTTCTAATAGCAAGTGACGTGTTCATGGGGGAAAAACACCTGGAACATTTAAATAGCTTCATTTTCTATTAGTCACCCTTGGTCAGGACAGCCAAGCAACAACAAAAAAAAAGTATTACGCTAATATTAATAAAGTATTTGCTAGCTGTTTATAAGTGTAAATAAAAGCAAATGAAGTTTTTTTTAAAAAGATGAAAACTGGGTCGCAAATATGGACAAATTCCAGTTTAAATAACCAAACATTCTGAAAACAAGATATTTACTTCACTGTAAAACCCAACAGTCAACTTTATCAAATGAAAAGATTGTAGTTAACTCAAAATTGAATGAAAGTTAATTGTACTCATTAGAAAAGAGTTTTGAACTCAGGGATGAAGGTAAAGAGTTAATGAAATACCTCATTACTTCAGCTTAAATGGAGTCATTTTACATTTTTTTAAAATAGATTTTTTTTACTCAAATAGTTTGCACCAATCGGTTTCCTCAAACGGTTTAAGTTGCCTTAACTCATTGGGTTTTAAAGTACTCCTTTGGTTTGAGCTCTCTCCATTTATTGGGTTTTACTGTGCTCAAATGGATTGAGTTCACAGTACTCATTAGGATTCATTTTTAAACTTAAATGGTTTGTTGCAATCGGTTTCCTCAAATGGTTTGAGTTACCTTAACTAATTGGGTTTTACAATGTAAAAATAAAAGGCTGACCCTGTTCATTGGCAATGTTTTTTCATATTTTAAGCATTTTGTTAGTACTAGAAAACAAGGCAAGAAAGGAAAATAACATTTGCATTGAAGTACGTTGTAATACATGGTGTTTCTATGATGAGCAATTCAGGCTTTAGCACTTACAGTGGAGTTTCAAAGAGCACATTGATTGAAAAAAGCTATTTATGGGTAATAGTTTTTACAATCAGATGGTGTGTGATTACAGAAATACTTTTCACGTCAAGCATGCTACATGCATTGTACAGGTGAAAAGGCAGTTTATTGTGCAATGCAAGTATAGCATTAGTTGACATTACTTACATATTTTTACATTTTAACATGCACAGAAAATAAGGAAGAGATTTGTATCTTTAAGCTAGAGTTACATTTTCACTTTCACTTTCCCATCAAAAGCCACATTACACAACTCTGACATGTTTCTTTGTGGGAAAACACCACAAGTTAGTCCCTCCATTCAAAAACACAAGTAGCACTTGCCTAACAGGAAATATCCGAACACTTACTTTTGCTCTCTCTCCATCAATGCATGTCGTAATTTTCAGATTTAGAGTCAGATAACTGAAATTAATTGGGCCCAACATTTGCTCATGACATTTAAGTGTGTTTCTGTTTGCATGCTTGCCAAGGGTATTGGCAAAGATGTACGTTCAAAAACAAAGTCGGGGTTTTTATTTGGCCTTCTCGGCTGCCACAGGCTCCGTTTGCACTCCGGCATCAGAATGGCGCTTTTGGCCCTGCGAGACACACCAACGCATAACGCAACATTAGTGATCCCAGTTTACTGAGGAAGTGTTTATGTATTTTTACTGCTCATCATCTGTAATGCTGCCTGAAGCAAAACCCCTCGTAACCTGTCTGACAACTGCTGCCTTATTTGCTAAAGTATCAACATTAGATCCTGCTCCAACACGTCCCTTTCAAGCGTAGTTCTAGTATGTGAATTTGTATGATTTATTATTTAGGTTATATATATGCGGTGCAGGATGAGAAATTAAATAGGGTGTTAGTATGAGTATGTTAGTGTTAAGGTTATCCATAAGCAAGCGTGCTCCATAAAACCTGATTTATATTTGTGTCAAGTGATCA